CAGGCTGAGGCAATTCTCATGCCTCAGCCTCCCAAATAGCTGGGATTACAGGTGTGCGCCACCACGCCCAAATAATTTTTGTACTAAAAATACAAAAATTGCCAGGCATGGTGGCGTATGCCTGTAGTCCCAGCTACTTGGGAGGCTGAGGCAGGAGAATTGCTTGAACCGAGGAGGTAGAGGTTGCAGTGAGCTGAGATCATGCCACTGCACTCCAGCCTGGGCGACAGAGCGAGACTCCGTCTCAAAAAAAAAAATACAACAAAAAACTTGATGGGTGAATATTCTTGTGAGGGTACACATGTGTGCACGTATGCAAAAATATGTGAGGGCACCCCCAGAAGGTGGCTCTGTCTGGGAGAAAGTGGAGATCAGAGTCTGCCCCATAGTGACACATTCTGGTGACCTTAAGGGAGCCTTCTGCGTCTCGTGCCCTGGTGGCAAGGCAGCTTAGTATCACGGAGAAGATGTGGGATCTGGAGTCAGAAAACCTGGGCTTGAGTTCTTGGCTGTAAGACTTTGAGAAAAAAAAAATATCTCTGGGCTTCAGTTTTTCATATATGTAAAATGGGACTGATGTTAGAGACAACATTAATGATAATAAGACCCATTTCCAGTGGTTGGGAATGAGAACGAAATAGGGTCCAGGGTGTAAATCAGTTTATCCTTCCTGGGCTTGTCAGGAGTACATTGCACTTTGGGAGCACGGAAGAAGAACCAGTCCTCGTTCATTGGCCAGCCTCAGGCGTCTGCCATATGTGGGGCCCTGGAATACAGAGACAAATGAGACAGGCCGATGCCTCCAGGACGATCATATAAAATCCTAAGCTCTTCAAGCTCACGACCCAGGCCTTACGTGGGTTTGCGGCCCTGGCAGCGTCACCCGCTGTTCTGGAAACACACCAGGGATGCTTGTTCATGGTGGTGACCACCAGGCAAGAGACAGGAGGTCTGCGGCAAGGACTCTGATGCAGTGGAGCAGCCTGGGGGGACAGTCAGGCCAAGGCAATAGCTGAGGGGTCACCTCTGTGTTTTCTCCTCATGGGATCAGATCTGGCTGCATATCCTGAGTCCCGGGGGCTATGGAGGGACGTTTCCCCCTCGTTCACCTGGGACTGAGCCTGGCCATTGCAGGCCAGTCCAGGCTTCAGGGAGAAGGGGTGCACTGGCAGTGCCAGCACCTATGGAAGGCTGAATAATGGCCCCAAAATATCAGGTCCTAGTTCCTAGAACCTGTGGATGTCACCTGATATGGTAATGTCTTGCAGGTGTGTTATTTCATTCCAGATCTTGAGATGGGGATGTTATCTTGGCTTACTTTGGATGAGCCCTGAATGTAATCACAGGTGTCCTTGTAAGATGGAGGCAGGGAGAGATTTGGCACTGACAGAAGAGGAGAAGGCCACGGGACCACAGAGGCAGAGACTGGAGTGATGCCACCACAAGCCAAGGAGTGCTGGTGGCCACCAGAAGCTGGAAGAGGGGAGGAACGAAATCTCCCTGGGCCGGGCACAGTGGCTCATGCCTATAATCCCATCGCTTTGGGAGGCTGAGGCGGGTGGATCGCTTGAGGTCAGGAGTTCGAGACCAGCCTGGCCAACATGGGAAACCCTGTCTCTTCTAAAAATACAAAAAAAGTAGCTGGGTTGTGGCGGGTGCCTGTAATCCCAGATACTTGGGAGGCTGAGGCAGGAGAATCACTTGAACCCTGGAGACAGAGGTTGCAGTGAACTGAGATCACGCCACTGCACTCCAGTCTGGGCTACAGAGTGAGACTCTATCTCAAAAAAAAAAAAAAAAAACGGCTGGGCACAGTCAGTGACTCACGCCTGTAAACCCCAGCACTTTGGGAGGCTAAGGCAGGCGGATCACGAGGTCAGGAGATTGAGATCATCCTAGCTAACATGGTGAAACTCTGTCTCTACTGAAAATACAAAAAATTAGCCAGGTGTGGTAGCAGGCGCCTGTAGTCCCAGCTACTCAGGAGGCTGAGGCAGAAGAATGGCGTGAACCTGGGAGGCAGAGCTTGCAGTGAGTCAAGATCATGCCACTGCACTCCAGCCTAGGCCACAGAGTGAGACTCCGTCTCAAAAAAAAAGAAAAGAAAAAATTAGCCAGTCATGATGGCACATGCCTATAATCCCAGCTACTTGTGAGGCTGAGGCAGGAGAATCACTGGAACCCAAGAGGCAGAGGCTGCAGTGAGCCAAGATCACACCACTGCACTCCAGCCTGGGTGACACAGCAAGACTCTGTCTCAAAAAGGAAAAAAAGAAATCTCCCTTAGAGGCTCCAGAGGAAGCATGGCCCTGGTAACACCTTGATTTCAGGCTCATTTGGACCTTCTGGCTTCTAGAGCTATGAGAAAATAAATTTCTGATGTGTTGAGATACCAAAATTATTGGTCATTTGTTACAGCAGGTGCAGGAAACTGACACAGCACCCATCCTCACAGGTCATTAATTCAACAATAACTTAATAGGCACCTGCGGTGTGCTAGGCACCATGTGGGGCCCAGGGAATGTAACAGTGACTAGGGCAGACAGGGCCTTGCCCTCCTGTGGCTGACAGTCTAGTTGGGGGTAGGGATGAGGGTGGACCTCGCCCGCCTGCAGTGTGCCGGACACCATCTTCAGGGCTCTGTGTGTATTAACTGTGAAAGTTGTCTGAATCAAAATGGGGTCACCAGTGTTACCCAAAACCCTGAAAATGGAACCCGGGAAGGCCATGAAGAGAGGGTTTTCACGCTTGCATGCCCGATAACAAAAAAGACTGTGGAAAAACGACAGCTTTGCACAAAGGCCTTTGTAACCTTACACAAAAAGACTTGTGCCAGGACGTCTGCCTGGCAGTAGCCGGTCCAGCCTCAGACTACAGTCACCCTTGTTATTGATCTATCTTTATAGCCAAGGATAATTATTAATACTTTAAACAATTATATAACCCTCCTTATTTTTTCCTTTAAAAATCTTTGTCTTCCTTTACCTCCCTGAATACACATAGTTTACTATGGCAGGCGGATTCCCATTGCAACACTCTACTCCCAAATAAATAGCTTTTCCTTTTTTTTTTTTTTGTTTGAGATGGAGTTTCACTCTTGTTGCCCAGGCTGGAGTGCACTGGTGCGATCTCGGCTCACTGCAACCTCCACCTCCCGGGTTCAAGCTATTCTCCTGCCTCAGCCTCCCGAGTAGCTGGGATTACAGGCATGTGCCACCACGCCTGGCTAATTTTGTAGTTTTAGTAAGGACGGGGTTTCTCCATGTTGGTCAGGCTGGTCTAGAACTCCCGACCTGGGTGATCTGCCTGCCTGGGCCACCCAAAGTGCTGGGATTACAGTTTTTATTTTGTTTTCTGGGTTGGTTTTTTTTGTTTTGTTTTGTTTTGTTTTGTTTTTGAGACAGGGTCTTGTTCTGTCACCCAGGCCTGGAGTACAGTGGTGCAGTCAGAGCCCACTGCATCCTCAAACTCCTGGGTTCAAGTGATCCTCATCAGCCTCCCAAGTAGCTGAGACTACAAGTGGACACCACTATGCTTGGCTAGTTAAAAAAAAAAAAAAATCTTTTTATAGAAACAGGGTCTCGTTATGTTGCCCAAGCTGCTCTCAGACTCCTGGCCTCAGTGATCCTCCTGGCCTCAGTGATCCTCCTGCCTCAGCCTCCCAAAGCACTGGGATTACAGGCGTGAGCCAACATGTATGGCCATCTTTTATTTTATTTTATTTTTAAATTTTATTTACTTTTTATTTTTGAGACAGAGTCTTGCTCTTGTCACCCAGGCTGGAGTCCAATGGCACGATCTCGGCTCGCTGCAGCCTCCATCTCCCAGGTTCAAGCGATTTTCCTGCCTCAGCCTCCCGAGTAGCTGGGATTACAGGCGTGCACCACCACACCCGGCTAATTTTTTTGGTATTTTTAGTAGAGACGGGGTTTCACCTCGTCAGCCAGGCTGGTCTCAAGCTCCTGACCTCGTGATCCTCCCGCCTCAGCCTCCCAAAGTGCTGGGATTACAGGCGTGAGCCATGGTGCCCGGCCCATCTCTTATTTTCGAGAACTTTCTCTGTTTATTATTTAGGTTGACATAATCAATCCTCACAACAGAGTTGTGGGGACTGTTATCACTACTTTATAGAGGTGGAAACTGAGGCACAAGACACTAGCTCCAAACCAAACCGCTGATAAATAGGAGAGCCAGTGTCTGAGCTGGAGCTTACCCTGTGAATCACTGTGCTGTGTCATCTTTCGTCAGATAAAAGCATGTAAGAGGCCGGGCGCGGTGGCTCACCCCTGTAATCCCAGCACTTTGGGAGGCCGAGGTGGGTAGATCACTTGAGGTCAGGAGTTTGAGACTAGCCTGGTCAACATAGTGAAACCCCATCTCTACTAAAAACACAAAAATTAGCCAGGCGCGATAGCACATTTCTGTTGCCTCAAGCTACTTGGGAAGCTGAGGTGGGAAGATCACTTGAGCCTAGGAGGCAGAGGTTGCAGAAGGCCAAGACTGCACCACTACGCTGCAGCCTGGGCAACAAAGTGAGAGTCCAAATCAAAAAAAGAAAAAGAATGTAAGACACACATAGGAATTGTAAAAAAGTGCCATAAAGGTAATACATGGTGGGTCAGGCATGCAGGGAAATGCACGTATCGGGTGGGTGGGAGGTGGAGGCTGTCACTGGGTGGTCAGAGAAAGGGAGGCCTCTGTGAAGAGGTGACGTTTGGGCTGAGGCCTGAAAAATGAGGTGCACCAGCCATGGGGAGGTGAGAAGGAAGGGACTAATGGGTAAGGAAGAGGCTTCAAGGTGGGAGTGAGCTCAGGGGGAATCAAGGAATATCAAGCAGGCACCGGGGAGGGTGAAGGGAGTGAGTGGAGGGCGTAGAGGATGAGGCTGGGGATGAGGCTGGGGCCCACTGAGATCTCAGTTTCATCCTCAGCAGAAGCGGTGGATGATTTCCACAGAGGAGTAAGGTGGGCTCACCTGCCAGTCTCATTTGCCCACCCAGGCATGTCAGAGCGGGAGCGGCAGGTGATGAAGAAGCTGAAGGAGGTGGTGGACAAACAACGCGATGAGATCCGTGCCAAGGACAGGGAGCTGGGCCTGAAAAATGAGGACGTCGAGGCTGTGAGTGACATACCCCTGACCTGTGTCCACCCTCCCAGCCAGTAGGTGCCAGCCAGAGACCAGACCCTCCACTCAGCAGGTCTCTTCTCTCCCTTGCTATCATTCTTAGGGCTCCGTGGGGTGTGGATCCTGCTCATGGCTTGGCGGGCCCAGCCTGGAAACAGCAAGACTTCACTGGCAGAGCAGGAGGGAACGTGGCACTGCCCAGTGAGCAGGCTCTTCCTGCCTCCTGGGAAGGTCCCGAGGCCTTGGCAGCCTTAGCTGTGACCCCAAGGCCTCCTCCAGCCCCCCAGCTTCATGCCTCTCTGGGAGCAGACTTAGCAGGGTCCAGCATGCTCCAGGAACCCATACAGTGTTTCTGTGTAAATCAGAGAAAAATGCCCCTTTCTGAAGTCATGTTACTTCCATCTGTTGGGAAATGTTCGTAATGTATTAATTCTAGCAAGACACGCTTCCATTTGCCATAAAATTGTCATAGTAAATACACAAATTGCCCATCTCTAGCATCATCAGTTATAAGAATATGAACAACTTTCAAAGAAAGATGTCTGCAATATAAATGGCACACCTAAGGATGGTTTGCCATTGTGCAGTGCACAACCTGAGCTACTGCAGGTAGCAGCCCTGCACAATGGTCTCCCTTTTTGTACAGTTACAGCAGCAGCAGACACGGCTGATGAAGATCAACCATGACCTTCGGCACCGGGTCACGGTGGTGGAGGCCCAGGGGAAAGCCCTGATCGAACAGAAGGTGGAGCTGGAGGCAGACCTGCAGACCAAGGAGCAAGAGATGGGCAGTCTGCGAGCAGAGCTGGGGAAGTTGCGAGAGAGGCTGCAGGGGGAGCACAGCCAGAATGGGGAGGAGGAGCCTGAGGTGAGCAGGAAGCTGGGTGCAGAGGTGGTAGTGGAGGGTAAGTCTGGGGGTTGGCTCAAGGCAGGCAGGGTTGCCTTGTTTTCCCCTTTATACTTAAGAAAATGGCCAGCCTGGGCAACATAGGAAGACCCCAGTTCTCTACAAACATTTTTTTTAAATTAGCCCATGCGTGGTGGTGCACACCTGTAGTACCAGCTGCCTGAGAGGCTTAGGCAGGAGTTCAAGGCTGCAGTGAGCCATGATTGCACCACTGCACTCCAGCCTGGGTAAAAGAGCCAGACCTGTCTCAAAAAAAGAAAAAAGAGAGAAAGAGAGAGAGAAAACAAGAGGCTCAGAGAGTCAAGCTACTGGCCTGAAGACACACAGCTGAGGGGCTGGAACCCCAGACTCTGCATTCTCCCACCTCAGTGGTGGTTATTAGGCACCTGCCATTTATTTATTTATTCATACCAATGATTATTGACCATGTAGCCTGCCCAGAGGATAAAATAGCGAGCAAAATACAGACATAATCCCTGTCCACATGGAGCTTACAGTTTAGTGTGGGAGGCAGACATTAGTTAGTCCAGACCTTAGTCAGTACCACACAGTACCATATGACCCAGCAATTCCACTCCTAGGCACATATCCAAAAGAATTGAGAACAGGTGTTCAAACTTTTACATGAAGGCCAGGTGCAGTCGCCTGCACTTGTAATCCCAGCCCTTTGAGCGGCTGAGGCAAAGGGATCAAGAATATCACTTGAGGCCAGGAGCTGAAGACCGGCCTGGGCAACATAGTGAGACCCCATCTCTACAAAAAATTCTTTAAAAATTAAAAACTTGGCTGGACACGGTGGCTCATGCCTGTAATTCCAGCACTTTTGGAGGTCGAGGTGGGTAGATCACAAAGGTCAGCAGTTCGAGACCATCCTGGCCAATATGGTGAAACCCCATCTCTACTAAAAATACAAAAAAATTAGCCAGGCGTGGTGGCCCATGCCTGTAGTCCCAGCTACTCGGGAGGCTGAGGCGGGAGAATTGCTTGAATCTGGGAGGCAGAGGTTGCAGTGAGCCGAGATCGCGCCACTGCACTCCAGCCTGGGTGACAGAGCAAGACTCTGTCTCAAAAAAAAAAAAAAAAAAAAAACTTGGGCCGGGTGTGGTGGCTTACACCTGTAATCCCAGCACTTTGGGAGGCCAAGACGGGCAGATCACTTGAGGTCAGGAGTTTGAGACCAGCGTGGCCAACGTGGTGAAACCCCATATCTACTAAAAATACAAAAATTAGCTGGGTATGGTGGTGGGCATCTGTAATCCCAGCTACCTGGGAGGCTGAGACAGGAGAATCCCTTGAACCTGGGAGGCGGAAGTTGCAGTGAGCTGAGATTGCGCCACTGCACTCCAGCCTGGGCAACAGAGTGAGTCAGACTCCATCTCAAAAAAAAGAAAAACTTAAGTGTGGTGGCACCTGTAGTTCCAGTTACTTGGGAAGATGAGGCAGGAGGATCACTTGATCCCAGGAGTTGGAGGCTGCAGTGAGCCATGATTGAGCCACTGCACTCCAGCCTGGGCAACACAGTAAGACCCTGTAGCAGCACTATTCACAGTCGCCAAAAGGTGGAAAAAACCCACACGTCCATCAGCGGATGAATGGGTGAACAGTCTGTCCATATGGGGGGATACGATTCAGCCCTAAGGAGGAATGCAGCCCGGGCCACGCGGTAGTGTGGATGAGCCATGAAAACATCATGCGGAGTGAAAGAAACCAGGCCCAAAAGGCGAGTGTGCTACTCAATTTGCATGAAATGTCCCAGAACAGGCAAATCCATAGAGCCAGAAAGTAGATGGGTATCCGAATGGGGCTGGGGGAGGGAGGAATGGGGAGCGACACTGATGGGCATGGGGTTCCCTTTGGAGGTGATGGAAATGATCTGGAATTAGAGATTGGTGATGGTTGCACAACACTGCACGTTACTGTCCGCGTGGCCAGAGCTGTCCATCACAGCCACAGCTAACATCCAGGTAGGCCCAGGGCTGCGAGGTGGGCACTAGGGGTGTCTGATCCTTAAATGTGCCCCCAGACTGTGCCAGGAACACAGAGGGTGAGATCCTTCATCGTAGCAGAGGTGGGGAGGCGGGGTTTCAGGGAAGAGCTGTTCCTGAAGCTGGGCGTCAGTGTTAACAATGCTAAGACTTTGACAGGTAGAAATGTGGAAAATGGAGATGCTGTTTCACAAAAGTAGAGTGAACTTTAGGGACACACTGAGGCTTGTGGTTTCTCCCAGAAGATATTTATGAGCTGTTGAAAGTTTGCAGACGTAGGCCGGGCGCGGTGGCTCACGCCTGTAATCCCAGCACTTTGGGAGGCTGAGGCAGGCGAATCATGAGGTCAGGTGATAGAGACCATCCTGACTAACACAGTGAAACCCCGTCTGTACTAAAAAATACAAAAAACTTAGCCGGGCGTGGTGGCGGGCGCCTGTAGTCCCAGCTACTCGGGAGACTGAGGCAGGAGAATGGCGTGAACCCGGGAGGCGGAGCTTGCAGTGAGCCGAGATCACGCCACAGCACTCCAGCCTGGGCGACAGAGCAAAACTCCATCTCAAAAAAAAAAAAAAAAAGAAAAAAAAAGAAAGTTTGCAGACCCTGCACTAGTAACCTGAGTTATAGGTAGGGGAGGTAGGACAGACAAGCTCACAGTCAGGTGGGTTCAAGTCCCAGTACAGTCATTACGTATCCTGCCAGGTTTGCTGTAGAACAGGACAGGCATCTGGGATATACATGAGGAAGGTCAGGGAGAGAAGCCTTAAAAGGGAGTAGTTGCCAGGCATGATGGCTCACACCTGTAATCCCAGCACTTTGAGAGGCTGAGGTGGGTGGATCACTTGAGCCCTGGAGTTCGAGACCACCCTGGCCAACGTGGTGAAACCCCATCTCTACTAAAAATACAAAAATTAGCCGGGTGTGGTGGTGCGTGTCTGTAGTCCCAACTACTTTGGGGAGCTGGGACAAGAGAATTGCTTGAACCCGGGATGTGGAGGTTGTGGTGAGCTGAGATCAAGCCACTGCACTCCAGCCTGGGCGACGGGTGAGACTCTGTCTCAAAAAAATAAAAATAAAAAAGGAGCGGTTAAGGGCTGCTTTTGTCTAAAAATGACATAAGCCTAAGTTAAAATGGTTTTAAGAGTTGGGAGGCCAAGGCAGGCAGATTTCCTGAGCTCAGGAGTTCAAGACAAGCCTGGCTAACATGCCAAAACCCCATCTCTACTAAAATACAAAAAATTAGCCAGGCGTGGTGGCGCGCACCTGTAGTCCCAGCTACTCGGGAGACTGAGGCAGAAGAATTGCTTGAACCCAGGAGGCAGACGTTGCTGTTAGCTGAGATCGCGCCACTGCACTCCAGCCTGGGCGACAGAGCGAGATTCTGTCTCAAAAAAAAAAAAAGGCTGGGCGTGGTGGCTCACGCCTGTAATCCCAGCACTTTGGGAGGCCAAGGCAGGTGGATAACCTGAGGTCAAGAGTTCAAGACCAGCCTGGCCAACATGGCAAAACCCCGTCTCTACTAAAAATACAAAAGTTAGCTGGGCATGGTGGTGCATGCCTGTAATCCCAGCTACTGTGGGGGGCTGAGGCAGGAGGATCGCTTGAACTCGGGAGGTGGAGGTTGCTGTGAGTTGAGATTGTGCCACTGCTCTCCAGCCTGGGAAAGAGAGCGAGACTCTGTCTCAAAAAAAAAAAAATGGGGCCAGGTGCAGTGGCTCACACCTGTAATCCCAGCACTTTGGGAGGCAGGCGGATCACGAGGTCAGGAGATCGAGACCATCCTGGCTAACATGGTGAAACCCTGTCTCTACTAAAAATGCAAAAAAATTATCCGGGCGTGGTGGCAGGCACCTGTAGTCCCAGCTTCTCGGTAGGCTGAGGCAGGAGAATGGCGTGAACCCAGGAGGCGGAGTTTGCAGTGAGCTGAGATAGCCCCACTGCACTCCAGCCTGGGCAACAGAGTGAGACTCCATTTTTTTTTTTTAAAGAAAAGGTTTAAGAGGGAAAAAAGGAATTTATTGACCGCGTAACTAAAAGCTCTGAGTTAGAGGTGCCTTCAGGTACGGCTGGCTCCAGGTGCTCACGAGCTGCTCTTGGGAATGTGGCTCTGACCTTCTCAGGCCCTGCTTTCCTCTGTGCTGTTGTCATTCTCAGCCAGGCTCTTTGCCTTACAGTCGCCACTAGTATTTGACCAGCATAGCAACCCCAGTCAAAAGAAATGGCCTCTTGCCCTGGAGTCCCAGCAAAAGCCTCAGGGAATCCTCATTGGCCCATCACTGAAGCAACTGTTGTAGCCAGAGACCTAGAATATGCATGTTTATTCCTGAGTCACATGGCTGCGACCCAAGCCACATGGACTAAATGTGGGAGGGAAGTCTTTCTCCAGAAGAAAACGGCGGTGACTTAGCGCAAAGACCTGAGGGAAGGATAAAGGCCAGGCAGAGACAACAGCTGTGGTCTGCAGTGCTGGGGAGTCAGCACCCAGGGACCACACAGAGCTCTGAGCAGCGGGGGTGCGGGTCCTTCGCAGGGGTTCAGCAGGCTGGCGACACACTCAGCTGTTACACTGGAGGACAGGGAAGGAGCTTGTGGATGGTTGTCAGGAGCCCTTTGCAGTAACCCAGGTGAGAAGGTGAGGGCTGAACTCAATCTGTGGCAGTAGGAAGGAGGCTGGTGCCAAAGACATAACCTCCAGGCCCAGCGTGGGGCGGTCACCACCTCTGCCCTGCCCCCTGCTCCTAGTGTGCCCCTTCCAACCTTCAGGCCCCACAAGAGCTCAGGCCAGTCTCCTGGCCAGGCAGGCCCTGGGCCAAACCCAGGTCTCAAGAACATCAGGACTCCCAGCCCTGTTCCAGGACTCTTTAGTTTCACACCTTGGCCTGACTGCCTGTCAGTTTCAGCTTCCCTGTCTGGCAGCCAACGGGGCAGGGGAGAAATGAGGGAGTAAAATCAGGCTGCGGTAATGTGAACCCACAG